GTGTCCAGAAAAGTACAACTCTTTTCTATGATTATAATTACCACTGTGAATTCCATTTTCATTCAAACTGTTATTTTAAACAAATTAAAGTGAAAGAATTGCCACTCAAATATATATGACATGAGCAGGCAAAACCAGCTTTAATTTAGATTATGTTCTCTTTTTGACTGAACAAAATGAACTAAAACTGTTTATAGACTAGCTGGAAGGTTTGTCACTAGTGGACCTGCCAGGCTGGTGCATAACATTACCATTCGGCTCCACAAAGTCTGCTTTGTTCTTTATACCTGAAGATCTGTGTCTAGATATGTTTCCTGAGGCAGTTATAAACAACCTTCTGAATACTAAAGGAAGCCTAAAGGAATTACACAAAATCTTTTAGTGTGTCACAATCATAATTTCTTCATAACTCTTCCTAAGTGCAGGGTGAGTATCCTAGTATAACTTTTCCCTCTAGCAACATAACCACTGGAAGACTTGGAAAATCATCTTCCAAAGTTTCCTGGCAGAAATGGGTGATGCAGAGACTGAGACCAGTAGCTTACAGATTAATTAGCTGCAAACCCCTTTCCCCAAAGTGTGGAGCACATTTGATACAATTTAGTATCATGCTTTCCGGAAGGCTGCCTTGCCTGTAGAGGTTGCTACAAGTGGCCACAGATGAGTTTCCCGAGTGTTTCTGTTAGTGACCTAGTCAGTTCTCTCATGGACCAGAGGGTTCTTAGACATGCAGAGACTGAGACCAGTAGCTTACAGATTAATTAGCTGCAAACCCCTTTCCCCAAAGTGTGGAGCACATTTGATACAATTTAGTATCATGCTTTCCGGAAGGCTGCCTTGCCTGTAGAGGTTGCTACAAGTGGCCACAGATGAGTTTCCCGAGTGTTTCTGTTAGTGACCTAGTCAGTTCTCTCATGGACCAGAGGGTTTTCTTAGACAAAAATAATTAAAGCGGAAAGAAAATTTTGCTGCTGTGTATAATCCCTAATGAAGTTACTTTTACTGTTGATTGGAGACAATTATTATTATTTGGATCAAAGTTTAGGATCCAATCCTCAGATTATAGGTACTACATTTTGCTCATGAGTTTGGACACATAGTACTAGGATTTTAATGAGAAAGGAACCCTTTGTAAAACTCTGCTCCATTTAAAAAAAATCTGTTTTCAAGCATGCTTTAATTAGGACAGTTGCCCGAGTTCCTCATTAAACGATAATGAGGAAATTGCATTTGTTTGTTGCAGTAAGGCAACATCTCACCGTGACTGCACAAGAAAGTACACAGTCAGTAAAAAAATCATCACATCAGTGTACTATATCCAACTGCAAAGTTGCTCTTAATTTTCTTGAGGGCTTATATGGCAATTTAAATCCCTATCTGTATCTGCTACAACTTTAATAATAATAATAATAATATGCAAACTAAAGTCATGTAAGATCTTTTTAATAGAGTACATTATTCCTAAGATTGCAGACAAAGTAAAGGTGAAAAGGGATAGAAAAGCCTTTCATCTTACTTTTTAACTACGCAGTTCTAAGACTTTTGATCTATAGACTGACATTATTGAGTTATCCCTAAACATATCTGTGATCTACAAGACTTGAGGGAGCTTGGTTGGAGTTTTTTTTGCATCACAAGTTCTTTAGAATGTGAAGGTGTATTGGAACCCAGTGATACAGCTAAGGCACCATATGGTATGGATTTCCTCTTTACTACTGTTTGTTGTATATGCAAATGAGAGAAAGCTCATTTATTTAAACTTGCTTTGCTACATTCCTTCATCCAGTGGAATTTGCTTGAAAGCCACGACTCTCTAATACCAGTAGATTTGCCAGCACTGTTATCATATAATCCATCGGACTTACAGGACATTTACATTTACATTTGAGGCCTCGTCAGTGTGGTGACAGCACAGGGTTCACAACTGGTACAACCACTAGTGGCTAAGAACAACAATAGGGAATGCTAAGAAGTGGACCTAAGTATCACAGTGGGTGAAACTCCAGTTACTGAGGTGAGCAGAGTAGTGAGTGAAATAAGAGGTGTTTGAAATGAAATTCTGAAGAAAATTAATTTCTGGTCAGATGACAAGAAGAATTGGGAGAGATGTGCTGGGCTTACCTCCACACTCAGAGAAGGGCAGGGCCCTCTCCTGTGGTACCAGCTCTGATTTCCACATATAGGAGTTTGTTCACAGAGAAATCCCACCCCTGGATACAGATACCCTCACAGGCTTTCTCTGGAATTCCAGTGCTTTGATCTAGAGATGCACGCTTGTGGCCCAGAAATCCCATCATCCTGGGCTGCATAAAAAGCAGCCTGGCCAGGAGATCGAGGGACATGATTCTCCCCTTCTACTCCGCTCTCGTGAGACCCCACCTGGAGTACTGCATCCAGCTCTGGGGTCCGCAGCACAAGGAAGACATGGACTTGTTAGAGCGAGTCCAGAGAAGGGCCACAAAAATGGTCAGAGGGCTGGAACATCTCTCCCATGAAGAAAGGCTGAGAGAGCTGGGGTTGTTCAGCCTGGGGAAGAGGAAGCTCTAGGGAGACTTTATGGCAGCCTTTCAATATAGAAAGATGAAGAGAGAATTTTTGCCAAGGCAGGTAAGAAGACAGGTGACAGGACAAAGGGCAACTGTTTTAAAGTAAAAGAGGGTAGATTCAGATTGGACATGAGGAAGAACTTTTTTTACAATCAGGGTGGTGGGATGCTGGACCAGGTTGCCCAGAGAAGTTGTGGATGCCTCATCCCTGGAATTGTTCAAAATCAGGTTGGACGGGGCTTTGATCTAGTGAAAGATGTCCCTGACCACAGCAGGGGGTTGGACTAGATGATTTTTGATGGTCCCTTCCAACCCAAACCATTCTATGATTGCTATCTTCTGACACACACATATGCAGGGATCTGTTCTGGAAACTAAATATAGAAGACTTGTGCATGTTAAAACACAGTTTTTATATCATCACAGTTCTTCAAGAAGAGAAGTATAAGTGCTAGGAGATGTGTAGCTGCAGCTAATGAGGATCAATAAAACAGCATAATAAAAACATTACAGCTCTAAACATATACACTTGCAAACAAAGCCCTTAGGCACAGATGCTGTCACCGTATCAGAACAGTCTGGTGCTCCAGACAGCTCTTTTCCTTTATGTTTCTCTCCACAAATGATCCCTGATGTCCCACTTTGGCCATGATACAATCCTACCTAAAAAGCCTCCCTGCTACAGCTTGGGAATGGGGTGGGGAGGAGAGGTGCAGGGGGTAGTATCTTGCTATAGGTGTATTTTTCTTCCTCCAGGCCCAGAGCATTTCTCCTTCTCCCCAGGGGATGGAGAGGACAGAGATGCTGCACAGGTGGGAGCTACGGCCCCAGTGCAGCATGCTGCAGACCATTAGATACAGTTTCTGGGAACATCCTAGCAAGAAGAATCAGCTAGACAGTCTTTCTCATAATTTATAACAGTGAATCTAAAGAGCTTTAACATTGTGCTCTTAGGTGATACTTGCGCCAACAATGTAAAAGATTAATTCAAATGATATTGCTTGCCATCAACTGATGTAGCAAGAGGAATAGCTATGCATAGTGAGGGAATTTGAGTGGCAAGTTTAAAAATTCCACTTAAAACAGGAACATACCAGAGCTGCAAGGAGTTTCTTTTGAATAGAAAGATGCTACATTGTTGTGTTACAGTGCAGGTCTGATTAAAGTTCTAGATCAAGATGAGCCATTTCCCCTAAAGCATTTCTCATTTTATTTCTAAATAAAGTCACAAGGAAGCTTTATACCTTTTAAAGAACAAAGGCCACAAAGGAAGCCTTTCTTCATTCTTAGACATCGTTATATAGGTTTGGGATGGTCTCCTATTTATTTTCATGCTGCAGTTTTTTTCCACTCCCCCCTCAGTCTTTTAGCCACCCGCTCCATATTTCACACCGTAAGTAGCCTGTAATGTCATGAAAGTTGAGCAGATTTAACATTAAGAGCAAGTGTTTTATCAATCCTGTTACAAGAAAGACGCAAAAGAATCAATAAATCACTATAAATATAATTAGTGCTTTTTTATGAAAAAGGGTGTGTTAGAAAGCAAATGTATCACCCCTCTCAGGTAGGAAGCAAAGGCTTTAAGACATTGCCACAGAGCATGGTTTTAGCTCCATAACAGCAGCAGCAAATAAGAAACACTTAGCACCAAAGAGCTTTTGTAAAAAAAGCAATACAACTCTTTTGTGAGTGTGTGGGTGGCTCTGAAAAGAGCCTTTGGGTTATAATGTTATGTTGTGGAAAGTCTGAGCAGCTTTGCTCGCTGAGCTTATTTGCTTTTAGCCTTATGACTCTCGGTCTTCTTGGGCAGCAGCACGGCCTGGATGTTGGGCAGCACGCCGCCCTGCGCGATGGTCACCTTGCCCAGCAGCTTGTTGAGCTCCTCGTCGTTGCGGATGGCCAGCTGCAGGTGGCGGGGGATGATGCGCGTCTTCTTGTTGTCGCGGGCCGCGTTGCCCGCCAGCTCCAGGATCTCGGCCGTCAGGTACTCCAGCACGGCCGCCATGTAGACGGGCGCTCCAGCCCCCACCCGCTCCGCGTAGTTACCTTTCCGGAGAAGCCGGTGGACGCGGCCCACGGGGAACTGCAGCCCGGCCCGCGACGAGCGTGACTTGGCCTTAGCTCGGACTTTGCCTCCCTGCTTCCCGCGGCCCGACATGCTTAAGACGCCTGAAAAACTACGACCTCCCCACGCAAAAAAAGACCGAGGAAATCATACTGACGCAACGCCTCTTCCCGTTTTATCCCTTCCCTGGGCGGGATTAGCGCTTGGTGATTGGCTGGAAGCAGTCATTGCTTATACAACCAATGAGAAGACGGATCGTATTGTGTCCAATCAGAGTCAAAGATACACCCCCGTGAGGGAATGTCCAATCGAATTACAGGAGTTAGACGTCTGGTATTTGCATAACAGCCCTATAAATGGAGGGCGCTGCGGCCATTTTAGCTACCGATCTTGTTCTGAAACAGGGAAGGAGCACGGGTAAAATGCCCGAGCCGGCCAAGTCCGCCCCCGCGCCCAAGAAGGGCTCCAAGAAAGCCGTGACCAAGACGCAGAAGAAGGGCGACAAGAAACGGCGCAAGAGCCGCAAGGAGAGCTACTCGATCTACGTGTACAAGGTGCTGAAGCAGGTGCACCCCGACACGGGCATCTCGTCCAAGGCCATGGGCATCATGAACTCCTTCGTCAACGACATCTTCGAGCGCATCGCCGGCGAGGCCTCGCGCCTGGCGCACTACAACAAGCGCTCCACCATCACCTCGCGGGAGATCCAGACGGCCGTGCGGCTCCTGCTGCCCGGCGAGCTGGCCAAGCACGCCGTCTCCGAGGGCACCAAGGCCGTCACCAAGTACACCAGCTCCAAGTAGGGCGTCTCTGCCCTGCGTCAGACCTGCTCGACCCAAAGGCTCTTTTAAGAGCCACCTACATACTCCATGAAAGAGCTTTAACACAGGAGTTTCTCGGTCTTTTTAGGTGTGAAAACTTACTTAAATACTGAAATGCTGAATAGAACTTGAAATAAATCTTGCTAAATCACAGTTATCAGAGCTTGCAATAATTAAGGATCTGTGTCTGAAATTCTTGATGAGTATTTTACAGCTTCAAGCAAATTGAAATGTGTTAACTTTCGTAAGTGCTAACATTCAAATACTCAATTTTCTAATAAATGTAAGCAGTTTTGTTATGCTTGATCAGCAGAGATATGAGATGTGGTACATTATACTACATCTTCCATGATAAATTAATTCACATAGCTTCCAATAGATAAATACACCCGTCCCAAAAAATGAAGATGAGGGGAAAATCAAAGACCCTAATCACTTTTTTTGCATAGCTGTCTCAGGGTAGTCTAAGCTTAAAATAATTCCCTTCTGTATGAGAAGACAGGAAGCAGCCTTGTAGATCGGAAGACAAGGACAAGGCGACCAGAAGAAGCGACGACACCTCTAAGGCGGGGTAGACGCTTTGGGAGGATGGGCTGTCCGTGGACGCGTGGACCCGGGATCACCGGCAAGCGCGGAGCCAGCGCGGGCAGCGCTCCGCGTCGCGGCAGCAGCGCGGGCTTTTCGAAATTTTCCCGTCACCCAATAAGAGGCTGCGGCTTCTCCCATCAGCCAATCACAACCGGCCGCTGGCTGAGCTCCCGGAGCCACCGGTGCTGCGGAGAGCTCCGCGCCGCTCTGCCTCTGCGCTCCTACCGGGCTCAGAAGCCCCGGGCACAAAGCGCCCTGCCTGCAGCCGCTCGGGACAGCTGCCCGGCAGAGCTCTGGCTGCACCGCCAACAGGCCGGCAGGGTGCGGAAGAGGACCGCTGGTAGCTCCACCCGCCTCCCGCCCCGGCAAACTCCTTCCCAAAAAGCAGGTCAGTGAAATCACGCAGAAATTGAGACGTGCCCCACGACAGCGCTGCCAAGCGGAAAGGTCATTGCCAAGGAAGTGGAGGAGCCGTGCTGACGGGTCCCGGCTACGGTCACTAAGAGGCGTGGCAGTCGCACCCAGGCCGTTAGGAACCGAGCTGGTTAAAGCACCGAAACCTCCGCGCCCCGGAGCGCTACCCGCCCTAAGCAGTCCCTTTAACACGTACACCCTCTTGCGGTGCTCAAAAAAAGTCAGCCTTTAGAAATGTTTTCGCAGGGAATGTACACTTTATTTTTCCAAGTCTTTGCGTAACCACGGCCGGAAGTTTAGCGTCCCATCCACTCCACAGACGAACGTCCCACACGGATAGTGGCGTGTGGTTAGCTCTGCTGCAGGCACGGAGCTCGGTGATGGAGTGTATCAGCCCTTTCTGGGACAACAGTGGGTGGCTCTTAAAAGAGCCGTTGGGTTTAAGTATTTCCACTTCAACACTTCACTTCTTGGGCGCCGCCTTCTTCGCCTTGGCCGCTTTCGGCTTGGCCGCCTTGGGCTTGGCTGCTTTGGGCTTCACCGCCTTCGCCTTGGCCGGGCTCTTCGCTGCCGCCGCCGCCTTTTTGGGCTTGGCAGCCTTAGTCGCTTTCTTGGGGCTCTTGGCCGCTTTCTTGGCCGCGGCGGCCGCCGGCTTCTTGGCTTTCTTGGGGCTCTTCTTC